GGTGGCACACGGAGCTCCCGCGGACGTGGCGTGCGGAGGCCCTCCGTCCACCCACATTTGCTTTGAGAGCGCGCCCGAACAGACGGACGCCCACGTCCTATCATTATTTGGAACAAATGAAAGATTAACACGTACTAGTATCCCAGCTGCAGTGATTTGGATTGGACCAATGGATAACATCTGCGGGCAGAGGGAGCGGGAGAAAGCAACATTTCTTTTTTCTTTTTAGAATTATACAGCACAACGCAGATGTTCACAACGCAGCACACTCATCCTGATGAACGCAATGCAAACCCTACCCCTATAAGCATCTTCGAAAACTAGGCACGCAAATCCTTGACATTAAAGAAGTCACCTTAGGCGTCTCGCTGTCGATGCAAACTTCGTCTACCATTGAAAGCATAAAACGATTAATAAATCCTAAAATATTCCCTCTCACAAAGAGTCGAACCTAGGACCTGAGATGCTACGTATTGAAATATTCACTCAAGTCAAACCCGTGCTAAATCCTGAAATATTTGCTCAAGTCATAGCCCAGAACCTAACGTGCTACAAAGAATCTTTTAACCACTGTGCTATCCTTTCACGGAAAGTGACGTTTTTGAGTTGGGAGTTGTTTGCTGCGTTGCGCTGGGCTTTGCTCGTGGACCAATTAGAGAGCCCACGAGTTTTCACACTCAGATTCTTTGCTCTAAGGATGGTCATGCTCAATTCTTTGCATAGGTTGGTGGGAATGAATATTATGGACTATATAAACAGGCTACTTTTGCTTTGTATAATTTTATTTTATCCAAAAATAGCCTTGGACCCTTGGTGTGCGACAAGCCAAATAACTAGATGCATTGACCTTCACCCGCAGTCCCACACATACGTATGACGTATCCGTGCACCACACGTAAACAGGTAAACTAGTGCTTAGCGCTGTTATGAAAAATATGGGATTTGCTAACTTCCTTTCAGGCGAGGTTTATTACATATGTTTTGCATTAAAATTGTAGTTTTGGTTCATTACAATTTCTGTAGCCACAATCTGCAATTTTCGGTTCTGAGAATAAAAAACCCATTAGACAAAACAACGGACCCGACAAAACCTTATTTGTGTTGGCACAAAAACAATTAATAAGTTACAATTATTTTTATAGTCAGACAAGGACAAAAAAATTGATATGTTATAACACAAAGACAAATAACAAATCGCAAAGTAATAATTTAAAATTGTCTTAAAATTCAGGTACTTGAAATATAGGAGAAATGTAAAAATATTGATATATACAGTGAGTAACGATATGCTCCGTATATAATTTCACTGACTTTCTGAGTGAAACCACTCCAAAATTTTGACTGTACCCAACGACCAGCTCTGCTCGCGCATACAACGTTGTTCAGTACTTTGGATGACGATGAACGTAACAAGTTTATGTTCTTCATCGATAATGATCGGACAAGAATCAAGATTTTTAAATTTTAACAAACACAAATCCTGATACTTGATTTAGCACGCAAAAAATTTAAATCCGGCGTACCATGACAGTTGGTGCTTGCTGCACTCGATGTTAAAATCAGGATCCTAACTAGGATGGGAACTCAAATTGTAGTATTGCAAAGCCATAAACCGCATGATTCTATCGCGATTCCGACGACTATGGCTGCCAAAGTGAATCATAATTTTAAATGGAGGGAGCATTGACTTGTATACATCTCTCTACTTTGCAAACATGAGATGGGTCCAGGATGAGGAATCTACAAACTCTAGGCTCTGCAATAGCAAGCACAAAGAAATAAAAGCAGCTCAACAAAGTGAAATTCCACTTTGAGAAGGGGTTGACAACGATTTCTTGATCACTACGTATTTAGTAAGTGACAAAATACATTTTTTTGCAAGTTTAATCTATTAAGTCTTAACCTAAAACAAGGGATAAACATCTACAAAATGTTTTACAGCATTCATATGGAGTTTCCGCAAATGGAAAATCTGACAGCAGTGTCAGCTAGGGCCTGGGGGTTTCACTCAGTTAGTAGTAGCTTCAAGTTAGGATCCATTGCTCTCCAATCTAGTTATATGTTATTTCCAATTGCAAAAGCCATGCCAGCAACTGCAGCGATCAAAACTGCTGTTGTACAGTTCAGGACTTGTTGCAGGGAAAAGCAGCCAAAAGAAGGCTATTGAACCAGCCAGAAACGCTACCGATGCCGCTCCTATGACAGAAAAACAGAAGGCCACATTAGAAGTTCGGCATAATAACTTTACAAACCTTAATGTTTATTTTGTTTTATCAAAAGAAAACAGGACATATATACATATACAAATACACACCTTTTGTTCATGGTGACGAGAAAACAGGCAAACCCATCATATTACAGAGACGTGAGCAATAATTGGACATAACAGATTCCCCGTAAAAAAAAAATTTCAAAAAATGGAAGTCAATCAACAATGAAACCTTGTTATCACATCCATATTAAACTTGCTTACAGTAAAATATCTATAGTTACCATCCATCATGCCATAAAACCAAATGGAAATTGGAGTGCAAGCACAATCATGCAGCCAGGTTACAATCCATAAACTTAGTGGAATGTACCAAAATATGGTTCAAAAAACAAAGATGAAATATGGAACATGGAATCATCATTTTGCTGTCATATGGTTTTGCTTTTCATGCTTCTGCAATATGGAATATCATACTAAAACATAACTGGTAATCATAACACGTACAGTGCAAATTTGATTCCAAAAAATTGATTGAGCATGAACTAGCATGAACCAAGCATGAATGATAAACATGGAAACTTCAATTCTAAAAGCAGAAAAGGAGTTCAAGCAAGAATAGCAAGAAAATAATAGCACAGGTGACAACATAAAGGAATGAGGGAGACCTGTTCGAATGAACAAAAATGTTGCATACCACCCAAAGATTACAGTGTAGCCTAACTGGACACCTGAGGAGGGAAGGTAAGAAGTTAAATCAAGCTCAGAAAGTGCAGCAAATAGGTGTCCACAATCAATGAAACAGAAGTAATCCATTTTTTTATGCCAATGTATGCGAAAATATGTGGAGAACTAAAGAAGACTAATGAGTTTGAAGATGCCAATTTTCTTACCAAGCATAGTAAAAAAGTAAAAGTGTAGGATTCTAGCTTCAGATACAATCTGTAAGAGCAATAAGTCCCAGTGCCTGAACTGGAACCATCTCAATCAAGAAGTTAATATTTGCAAAACAAGCCTAAGGTTATAGCATAGAAGAATGAAGATAGGAATACTAAGACCATAGCTTAATGTATCCTATGTTGACCCTTCTGGAGTGCAGATGCAGTGAAGTGGTAGTGAATATTTGAGACCATAGTGCAACTGATTTAAAGGCAAACTTGTCACCGGAGAACAAACATAATAACCTAATATGTTATAGTTCTCATTGATTTCAATGGAAATAAAGTTAGTTAAATATAGGTCCGAAAGTCTGTTCTGAGTTTCTGACACCAATACTAAGTTAACCTAGCTCAAAAATTTTCTTCCCAAACCATTGCAGGAAGATACTAATGGAGAAAACAAGATGGGTAAAGAAAAATACCTACAATCAGTAGCGATCTCATAAAATTGCATCCCTGCTGGTGTAGTTCAAATAAATGATTTAAGTGTGCTGTCAACAGAAAGGTTCGGTTCTAATTAGAAGAGTACATCAGTATCGACAACAGAGAATGTATAGGCAATACAATGCAGATGTGGTGTGCAGCAATTTGATTAATAAAATAATCATAAATTTGGGCAAGAAAGATCGGAAAACTTTAGGTCCTCGTCGCCTGATCAGACTGGCCTATCATCGTAAAGCAGGTTCCTTGTCGCCATGCAGTGTGCGATCCAGAGTCCAGACACGATATTGCGAGGTTCAGCGTGAAAACCTGTTTGGCGCTCTCATCATGCGACGCTTGGAGGTTGGTGACCTTCACTGGCAAGTGACTCCAGGATCTTTGCTATTGACGCCAACAGAATCAGGGACTGGACCATCTGCTTCAGATCCATGAGGATGGATGTCAACGGATATGATGATGTCGATCTTCTTGGAGAGCTCGTCTTGCAAAATGGGATTGGAACCAGACAAAGCAGATACCAGAAGTGAAGGTCGTGGATCATTGGAGGTGGGAGCATTGCGTAGGCTTATTGTGTGATGTACTTGGGCGTGGCCATGGCTTAGAAGCCAACAATGGCGTACATGTGACCAAGAGGCAGCATCTATTGTTTGAGTTCACCGATTACAACCAGCCAAGTCCATCTAACTTCTAAATCAATATGCTAATGATAAGATCATACGGAAGGCTGCGGAGGGCACAATGGTGACGGACCAGCAGCCAGGGTTTGAACCCCAGGCAGTGAGGTGAGAGCGTAAATGGGTTCTGGGCAAGAAGCAACAACTTCTGTACTGATCTTGCTTAACAAACAAATGATAATGATAGTGTTTGGGCTATTTAAATAGCTGAGTCCTAACAAACCAACAAAGTTACTAAACCAAACAAACTCCTATCTTTGAGCTAACAAACTGAGAAACAAATCCCCTGAACCGACTGAAGCAATGTCGATGCTATCGTTGGTTCACCATGGTGACACTTGGCACGACATTAATATAGAATGCCGGTCATAACAGCCAACAATCCAAACCCCGTAACAAATGAGATATCCTAACAAACCGAACTGACAACCATTACTAGCCCAATGCCCCTGACTAACTGAAACTTCTGGCGGGACCCAAACTTTCTTCAGAACCTAGCTACTATCTTGCGCTGCAGCCTACTCCAGAGCACGATCTGATGATCCTTTCACTCATTGCGCCACCGTTCACAGATGTGTGCCCGTAGATGAGATGGTAAAAAAAGATACAGCCAAAGTTGGTTCCTTTGGAATAAAAAAAAATTAGAACGATGCAATAGAAATTTACCTAGACTGAAGAAGACTGTACTCAGAAATATAATTGTAGACATTTTGAATCCCCCGCAGAGAAGAAGAGGTATCATGCATGCCCTGAAAACCAGCTCCTCAGTAAACGGCGCCTGGTCAAAAGGTCATCACCAAACAATATCACTACAATAGAAGAGGGAATCAAAGTGTTCTCAGTGGTAGGACTAATTATATCAGTAGCATCCTAAACAGTACTACAGATTGCAAAGGCACTACAGTAATTGTTAGCCGGTAATTATGGTCCTTAGATGTCCAGTCAACGAGTCAACAATTTTTCATGTACTACAATAACCTTCGATCACTTGTTTACAACATGTAGTATCTTATAATTACAAAAAAAAAGTAAAAAGGGGAAGAAGAACAGACCACTACATAGTTCCGCCAAACCATAACATCCGCAACAGCAGCTGGCTAGGAGCCACAATCTAGTGACGAATGACCCAGAATACACTAGGGATGTAAGGAGAAGTGGAATCGCCACGGCCTGAATCTGTAGAAGAACCAGCGTTTCAATACAAGCATGAAAAGCTCAACACTAATGAGCAAGCTACGAGGCTGTAGCTTATATTTGGAAAAGATCGCTTACCAAGTGATCCTTCCTAACGCCGAACACAGCAAGCATATCAGCGAAGTCGCTGAGGCCCCAGACCTGAGGACGAAGATGAGAAGATGGGGGGTTTGAGATTCGTTCAGTTCAGGTTCGGGTATTGGACAGGAGGCATGTACCGGAGGAGAGCAGGGGCGCTTACTCGGAGGAGGGACACGGTGGCAAGGGCGGAGGCGGCGGATGCGACGGCGGCGCAGGCGAAGCGGCGGTGCAGGAAGGTGCGGAGCGAGGTCGGGGCGGGAAGCGGATGATGGCCGTCGGGGCATAGAGGACAGCGACGTAGGATACCGCCATGACGGCGCATGCCGCCACCGCCACGGCGCCTGATATCGCCGGCGGCGAGGCGGGATGGAGGCCCGTCAGCGTCGCCATATAATCCGGCGAAGCGGCGTCAGTCGAGGTTGCTCATTGGATCCTAGATTTCGTAGCGGGAGGGGAGAGGAGGGGGGCGGGGGTAGGAGCGAGGAAAAAGATGCCGGCGCCGGAGTTGCAAGGAGGCGGAGGCGAGCGAAGCGACGGCGGCTGAAGTGACAAGCGACTCGCCGCCAGCATACCAGCGATGGGACAGGAGAATTGCCGGGATTATTCACGCTCAGGCCATGTTTAGATTGCTAATAATTTCGACCCGATGAATAGTAGCATTTTCGTCTTATTTAGTAAATATTGTCCAATCGTAGACCAACTAAGCTCAAAAGATTCATCTTGTGATTTCCAACTAAACTGTATAATTAGTTATTTTTTTACCTACATTTAATGCTTCATACAAACGGCTAAAAATTGATGTGATCAAAAGAGAGTGAAAAAACTTAGAATTTGGAGTAAACAAGGCCTCAATGTTCGGATGGGCTTTTGACAGTGCAAAGACCGCCCCGATTGTAAAGGACTCCCCGTTGAAACCAAAGTTGGCAAATCTTTAGATTATTAGAAGCACAGTAGATTCTATTGATTAGAATTGTAGAAATAACTCTCTAATTATAATGAGTTACTCAATTATAATCGTAGTCGGTAGGGACCTTAAGCGAACGACAGAATCAAAATTTTAACAATCATGTTTGAAACTAGTTTAAACCCTCTATTTTCGACAGATGCAAAATTATTTTTGGATTTTTTTAGTAATATCATGATATTGTAGAATATTTATAGGTATCTAAGGTGTTTGTGCGAGGTTCGCTCTTTATCTTAGTTTATTTAAGTTGACTTCATCTTCTTTCTACGATCCCTAAAAACTAAATAAAAAAATTCTCGTACCCTAAAACCACATTTGATCTTTGTACAATTCAGTCTAAGAGTCCACAGTTTTGAGTTTGTGATCTACTCTAGATCGAAGCCTTGTTGCTGATTTAGGGTTGTTTAGTTACTCCTCCTAAACTTTAGTCGTTGTCTCATCAGATATTTGGACACATACATGTAGTATTAAATATAGACTAATTATAAAACTAATTGCATAGTTTGTGACTAATTTGCGAGATGAATCTTTTAAACCTAATTAGTCCATGATTTGACAATGTGATGCTACAGTAAACATATGCTAATAACGGGTTAATTAGCCTTAATAAATTCGTCTCGAATAGGACTGACGGATTCTATAATTTATTTTTTATTAATATTCGAACACTCCATACAACACCCTCACGTAACACCTCAATTTTAGTCACGGATCCCAAACACCCCCTACTCTAAGGGCCAACGGCGTCTCTTTCCTGTCTCTGTGTTGCCGTTTTTGCAAAAAAAAAAACCTCCACTGGCTTGGAGACGGTCGCCTCGATGGCTACGGCCCGTGCTCCGAGGCCGAATCGCTGGCTGACAGCCTGTTCGGCTGGAGCGGCTGGCTGGCTGGTGCTGGCTCGCCCTCTCACAGGGGCACTGTTCACATGAACAGTGTCTTTCCACTAGAACAATATTTTTCTCTCACACCAAATCAGTAATAATCCACGATTCAGCCAGCAGTGCCGAACATGCTGTGAAGCAACGCTGTAGGAGTTGTCTTCTCGATTCGACGATGGATGCGGATCCCACGCGGGCGCACGCGGAATCTGGTATTCGCGCGCTTGGGAGTATGTTGCGCGCCCTGGCCGCCGCGAGCAGGGCGGTTGAGCTCCGCCGCGCCGTGGGCTGCGCGCGGCAACCTCCGCCGCGGCCCACGCTGTAGGCTGCGTGTGACGACCTCTGCCCTGCCGCCGCGAGACGCGCGGACCAGCTCCTTTGCACCACGGGCTGCGCGAGCTCCGCCCCAGCCGCCGTGAGCCTGTTGCTAGGTAGCCTGCTACCAGTAATTTCACAGGGACAAGGTGCTCGCTGGATCTGGAGCCCGTGTGGTGTCCTGAGATTTGCGTGGGTTCGCTTATTGAGTAAATCGCTTGCTCGCTAGCGAAATAGTGTGTTGTGTTCAGTGTAGCTTCAGCTGGCTTGGGCGAAAGCAGGAACTCAGTTCTTGATGATAGAATTGCCTTTGTAACTATGAGCTAGCTGCTGCTATTAATTCATTTCTACTGTCAGTTCTGAAGAATCATGATCCGGCCTTTTTTAGAAAACCGAACGCTGCTAGCTCATTCTATTGAGTATTGACAAAACTGATGAGTTCTTGAAGGAAGTTAACTGATGATTCCTACATTACTCCTAGAAGATAGTACTTCCTTTCTGAAAATTGGATGCTATCAAGTGCTTTCAGTTCTGAAAACTATATTCTGTTCTGAAAACTACATTCACTTCTAAAAATAGCATGAATTTGTTATGGCTGAACTAGCTTATTTTTTAGAAAGCTATGATAATCTCGGACTGAATAACAACTTTCTTGTGTAGAGCTATGATGATGGAGACGTTGATCTATCTGTCCCAACTACTGTCTGAAGTATTATCTGCTAGCTGCGGAGCAATCCAACATTAGTTTTTTTTATACATGAAAAACATTGTCACAGTGCTGTTTTCATAATGTGAAATAGTAGCTGTTTTTGGCTGACCCGGGGCCATGAGGATGTTGTGTGGATCTTTCAAGTGAAATTTTCATGGAAGCTAAGGGGGTGTTTGGGACTGCTCCGCTCCACGTTTTTCAGCTCCGCTCTACGTTTTTTATCTAAATGGTTTCAGCTCCATGCACTCGATTCGAGGAAAAATGGTGGAGTTGTGAGAGCACCTAAAGAGGTACTCCACAAACTCCAGTTTTTTTTGTGGAGCTGCTTCATGGTGGAGTTTGTGAAGCAGAGTTTGTGGAGCAGTTCCAAACACCCCCTAAATCTGTGGCAGTTGCCTGTGCGAAAAAAATAGATAAAGATGTTGCAACTATATACAATATATCATTTATAGTGATGATTTCAAAAAATATTACAATCATGTTCATCTTATTTAAGTGTGATCCTTTTTTATCAATTAGCAAGGCAATGGTAATACAAAATAGTGTTCACAATTGATCTAAGCTACATGCACAACATTAAACACTGTGTAGACAGTGAGAGAGAGAGAGAGAGAGAGAGAGAGAGAGAGAGAGAGAGAGATTTGGGATACGTGTGCTGCTACCGGCTTAGAGAAATGTTGGCTTTGTTGTGCTTTGGAGCTCGATGGAAACTTATGCTTGCTGACTCGGTGAAGAAATGAAATGCTTGGTCAGAGTAGGTGATTGAATCAATTATGTGATCTCATCAAGTTACTGAAACTCTGAATAGCAAGTTAGGACTGCCCTTTGTCCTTCATGAAGCTGCTACATGAAATTGTTATATATGCTTTCTGAATTTTGTTGTCGTTGTGAATGAACCTCATAGTTGACCAACGCTTCTACCTGAAAATCTGAGTATGCTGCTGCTGTTACTATTTTTTACCAAGCTCTATTAGTGTTGCGAGCTACTTTTGTGAAATTGGACAAGGACTTATATCAGTCTGTTGCATGCTATCATTTTTTTTCTTTTAAATTAGCTGAGTTGTCATATGATTTTGTTTCCTCTCATGATGTATGGAGCTAAGTTGATGTATGGAGCTATCACGTTGATTTCTGAAACTAGTGTGCAGGCTTACATAGTGTTCCATTTTTTTTAAATATATGACTTATATTAATTTATATCGATAGTTTTAAAATAAATATTGTAATCATGTTCATCTAATTTATTTTTGATCCGTTTCTATCAAATAGCAACACAATGGTATACAAAATAATGTTCACGGTTGATCTAGCTACATGCAAAGCATACTCTCTATTGTACGACCTGTCTTTTTAGCTGTCTGTTTACTAGATTCGAGGGTGTTGCGACGACCCCGTCACGTGTGGGTTGTATATGCCCTAATTCCTCGCCAACAGGCACCTCCAAACCCGCATCGATTTTGCAAGTTGTGTCAGCATCAGTCTCAACCAAACGCTGGTTTTACTTGAAACAGCCAAACCTTACACAAACATCGGAATCAGGGACATTGACAAAAAAATCCTCATCTGATTTCCTCACGCTTCGCCTAGTTCAGTGCAAAAAAAAAAAAATCTGAAGTACGGCTCTCCATCAATAAATAAAGAGGAGGGAGATCATGGTTTTACAGATTCCCACTTCACCGACAACTCCTCACCTCAGCAATTCAAGATTGACAACCAACTATCCAAGCCTTTGGTCAAGGACAATAGAACCTTATAAAGAGCTCGGTAAGACGTGTGAGCATGTGTGTCCAATGTCTTGCATAACAGTTGATAGGGATAATCCTTTGTGTTTACTTTTATCTTCTTGCCAACAATAACGAATGACGAATTTGTTCTTAAGAGCAATTTGCAAGGCTATAAGGAACAGATGTTTGCAGGGCCGGCTCTGATTTTTTTTGAGGCCCAAGTGAAACCACAATCCGGGACCCTTTATACATACATGACATTGATAGTACTAAATGTAAATACATATATATAAATACTTAACTGTGGATGCAATAGCAATATTCATATGAAACAATTCATAAATATTAAATTACCTTAAAAATTCCTATATTAAATTACCTTAAAAATTCCTTCTAACATTCCTCGATGCGAAGTCATTGATGATGGTATCAATATCGATCTCATCCAACAATCGCTTCTCAATGCATAATGTTGCCAAACCATTTAACCTCTCTTGAGACATTGTAGATCTCAAATAGTTCTTCAACAATTTTAGTTTTGAGAAGCTTCTTTCAGCTGATGCCACAGTCACAGGCATAGTAAACAAGATCTGATAAGCAATGGAAGCATTAGGATAACAATCAGCCTTTGTAACAAACTCAAAAATCTCCATAGCTGTTATGGGTGTATCTGGCAAAGTGAATTGTAGAACACTCAACTCGGAAATTAGATCATTTAAATCAATGTCAGAT